AAAAAAAAAGAAAAAGAAAACTATGTTACTGTAAACGAGATACATACTTTGTTGCCTGATTTGAATAAAAAAAAGGAAAAAAAAAGAGAGAGAGAGAGGAAACTCTCGATTGTTTAAATCAAATCTTCTTGGAGTGTTTTTTTCCTTTTCTTTTTGGAGGCATTAGGACACTCTTGTGGAAAGGATTATGGCATTCTGCACCTGTGATATTATGTGAGGTCTAATTAAGTGTGGAGTGTTGTTTTGGAAGATGGTAGCAGTGGCCTGAGGAAACAACAGCACCATGGCTCATCCCCCTTCTCACTCCCTATTAATTTACTCTCCCACCCCACACTCTCAGCTGCTGCGTGTGCACCACACATTAAAAGTGAAAGTTATCACGTTGGACCGAACTGTCTGCTCATCTTAAACGCTGAGGTGACAAGCACGAGTGCCTAAAGCTGAAATAGAAAACTAAATACTAACTTCTGACAAAACAGCCCAACAAAATGCTCACTCACAGTAATGGCTGTTTTAGCTTCGAGCGGTGCACATTAAAGGAACATTGCAGCAGTATCTTCCTTGTCACATCACATTTTCCCAGGTTTCAGCCATGTACAGCACATTAACATAAACTGGGGGATTATCATCTTTGAAATTACAAAGGTACAATGGAAACCTGAATATTACATAATTTATCAGATTAAACTTTCCTCATCTTTCATTTACATAGCGCACGCTAACACGGTGAAGAAAGAAATCATCACCCCAGCCTAGTTTTATTATTATAATCATCACTGATATGCTGACATTAGCTTGTAGCTGAAAGCATTAATGCTGTTCGAATGGTTTAACTTTACAGATACACTAAATTGATAAAATTACTGGGTCGGCTATATCTACAGGAGTTGCTTGGCTGTAAAAACTCATCTCATGAAGCTCCTGGCTCACATTTTTCATGCTGATGTTAATGTCAGAGAAGGTCTGGAGCTCTGCAGTTAGTGCAGGCAACTTTTACACACTGTGGACCTCAGCACTTGTCAATCCCACTCTGTAACTTTACCTGGTCCGATACTGTTTACCTGAGTTGCTGTTGTTCCTAAACACTTCAGCTTTGTAATAATACCACTTACAGTTGATTTTGGAATATTTAGCAGGGAAGAAAATTCATGAACTGACGCTCAGACTCAGTGAGCTCTTTGAACGACCCATTGTTTTACAAGTATTTTCAAAGGCACACTGCATTTGATTTTATACACCCATTAAAATGCGACTGTAAACGCCTGAATTTAAAGATTAAAAGGCCTGACCCAATATTTTTGTCAGTGAACCATGGTGAGAGTCATTATCCACAAATACATCATTTTTGGAACAGTGGAGAGCCTTGCTGTAGTGGCTGGCCTTTTAAAATTACTCCAAGAGTGTGATGACTCATTCAGGAGGACCCAGAACAACATGTGAAGAACTGCAGGCCTCA